GGGAGGAAGCAGTTAAGAGGAAAAAGGTAAGGAAAGGGACGGGTGAGAGGTGACCGGGTGTCATAGAATACAGATAGTATAGAGGGGCGACTGACAGAAAGGCGGGGTCGAAAGCAGGCATAGACTAACGCGGATAGAGAGGGGATAAAGGCTATAAGTGCTTTCAACCATAGGCATAGGAAAGATAACCAATAGGAGGGAAAGGCTAAGGGAAAATCGGCGGATGGAGGCAGAGAAGGAATTAGGAATAGAGATTGACCAGCACGGAAGGATAGGAAAGAAAAGGGAAGACGAAGGGGAGAGGAAAGCAAGAGGCAGGCCTACAAAGGCGGAGGAGCTTGCTAAACAAAGAGGAAGGGCGGACAGCCTAGGATCGGTCAAAGATCTCATTTTGAAAAGGAAAAGAAAAGAGTTAGAGGAAGAAGCGGCCAGGGCAGCAGAGAAAGAAATTCTCGACAAATTTAATGAAACGAGAAGGACCAACAGATCACCGCCAGCGAAGATAAAAAAAGGAGAAGAGGGTAAAGGAAAGATGGCGACAGAGGATCTATTAAAAGAGATACTGAGGAAAATGGAAGAACAGGAGGAGGAGAGGAAAAAAGACAAAAAAGAAATAAAAAACGAAATAAAGGGAGTAAGGGAGGAATGGAAGAGAAGGGAGGAAATATGGGAAAGGCAGAGAAAGGCACTAGAAGAAAAGGTAAAAACGATGGAGGAGAAGATAGAAAAATTAGAGATGAAGGGCGCAGAGGAGAATGAAGGCAGGGAGTTGATAGAAAAAATGAAGGAAATAGAAAAAAGTGTGGAGATGACGGAAAGAAGAAGGAGAAAAAATAACATAATCGTAAAGGAGGAGAAGTTAAGAAACGTTAAAGAGAGAAAAGAAAATTTCGAAAAGTTGATGGAAGAACTAAACAGTACAGAAGGAAGCATAGAAGAAATACAAGAAATAGGAAACGGGGAATACAAAATGAGACTCTTGAAATGCAAAAACTGGGAAGCTAAAAGAGACATCATGAAGAAAAAGAAGGAACTAGGAAGGAAATATGGAAGCTTTCTAGATGACGATCTCACCTAACAGGAAAGACAAATACAAACAGAGATAAGAAAGATAGCAAGAGAGAAGAGAGAGAAAGGAAAAAGAGTGACAATTGGTTATCAAAAGATGTGGGAGGACAACAAGGAATGGAGATGGAACGAAAGCAAAGGCAGACTGGAGGGGAGGGAAGACTTTCATAGGTCACAACGAAGAGAATGAAAACAAAGAATGCGAGGAGGATGGGGAAAATAAATGGGAGGAAGGAGGGAGAGCGGCAGGATGCGAATCCAGAGTTGAGGAAGACGTAGATATAAAGAAAGGGGAGGAAGAAAGAGGGGGGAGGGAAGAGACGAAGGTGGTATTCTGGAATGTAGCGGGAATAATAAATAAAGATAGAGACTTTTGGGATGGGGTAAAGAAATGGGATGTGATTATTATGATGGAGACATGGATGGATAAGAAAGGATGGGAGAAGATGAAAGAGAAACTACCAAAGGAATTTGGCTGGAGAGTACAAATAGCGAATAGGAGGAATAAGAAAGGTAGAGCATGCGGAGGAATGCTAGTAGGTATAAGAAAAGGGATAGAAGAAATAAAGGAGGGAAGAGGGAGGGAAGAAGAGGAAAACAGGGTTGAAGTCAAGCTAAGAATAGGGGAGGAAATATGGAAAATAATAGGAATATATGTAAACAAAGACATTGATAAGAAGTTAGAAGGGTTAAATGATTGCATAGAGGAGGGAAAAATAGGAGTAAGGACCATAATAGGAGGTGATTTTAATGCGAGAACGGGAGAGGAGGGAGGAAGAGAAGAGGAAGATGAAGAAAGTGAGAAAGGAAAAGGGAGAAATTCTAAAGATAAGAAGGTGAACAAGGATGGTAGGACGCTACTAGAATTTATAGAAGAAAGAGGATTGATGATTTTAAATGATGGCACGAAGGGAGACGAAGAAGGAGAATACACATACACGGGAGGAAAGGGTGAAACAGTTATAGACTATATTATAGGTGATGAGGATAGCAGAGAAAAAATAGAAAGACTAGAAATAGGGGATAGAGTAGAATCAGACCATCACCCGCTAATACTGTGGATAAGTGGCGGAGCGAAGAGAACACAGAGAGGGGAAAAGATAGAAAGGACAAGAAGAAGAGGAATATGGAGCGAAGAAGGAAGAAAACACTTCGTTGAGAAGATAGGAAAGATAAGAGGAAACAGAAAATTGCAGGAGGAGATAGAGGAAGGGGTGTCAAAGATAAGAGGAATACTAAAGGAGAATGAAAAGGGGGAGGTCAGGGGTGCCAATAAGAACAGAAGAGGATGGTGGGATGAAGAATGCAAGGAGAAAAAGAAAGAAGCGAGGGCAGAACTAAGAAAGTGGAGAAAGGGGAGAGGGGAGGTAGAAAAATATAGAGAAAGGAGAAGGAAATACAGAGAAGTATGTGAAAGAAAGAAAAAGGAAGAGAAGGAAAGGATGAGATAGGAGAAGCGAGATCGGAAAGTAAGGTATGGGAACTGATAGGTAGAGTAAGGAAAAGAAGGAAAAGGATAAACGAAGACATAGGGCTGGAAGAGTGGAAAAAATACTTTATGGAGCTAATGGGAGGCGTGAAGAACAGGGTAGTGAAAGGAGAAGGAGGGAGGGACAGACAAGACGAGGAAGAGATAGAGTTAGAGGAGGTGAGAAATGTAATAAAGAAACTAAAAACAGGAAAGGCAATAGGTAAGGACGGAATCCCGAATGAAGTATGGAAATATGGAGGAGAAGAGATGGTGAGGTGGGCCTGGGAAATATGTAACGAGTATGGAGGGGAGAAGGCTGGCCTGAACAGTGGAAGGAGGGTGAGATAATACCTTTAGTGAAGAAAGGAGAAGGAAAAGAGGTAAAAGACTACAGAGGGATAACGATTATGCCCTCAATGTACAAGATATACACGGCGGTATTAGCAGAAAGGATAAGGAATGAAGTAGAAATGAAGAACTTGATTCCCGATAACCAAGCAGGATTTAGAAAAGGAATGGGGACGATGGACCAGATATTTACGCTAAACTATTTGATAAACAGACATCTAGGAAAGAAAAAAGGGAAGATGACAGTTCTATTCGTAGATCTCAAGGCGGCGTTTGACTCTGTAGATAAGGAAGTTCTAATTAAGGCAATGAAAGAGAGAGGAGTAAGGCAAGGACTGATAGATAGGGTGGAGGAAGTCCTGAGAGAAACAAAAAGCAATGTAAGAAGGGGAGAAGAAAAAGGGGAATCATTCTGGATGGCGAAGGGATTAAGACAGGGCTGCCCGTTAAGCCCGATACTGTTTAACTTACTAATTGCAGACATAGAGGATCACATGAGGAAGGGCGGATGGGGGGGTGTAAGTGTAAAAGGGGAGAAGATATACACCCTAATGTACGCAGATGACATAGCAGTACTAGCGGAGGAGGAACAGGACATGAGATCCATGATAAGCAGGCTTGAGGGATACCTAGACAGGAAAGGCCTAACGCTGAGTACGGAGAAGACGAAAATAATAAGATTTAGAAAAGGAGGAGGGAGGAAGAAGAAATATGACTGGAGATGGAAGGGAAAGAAATTAGAAGAGGTCAAAGAATTCAAATATCTGGGGTACACGCTGATGGCGAATGGAAGGCAGGAGGCACATATCAGAGAGAGAAGAAGGAAAGCAGCAAGGGTGATGAGGGAAGTGTCGGGAATAAGTAAAAGGATGTGAAAAAAGGACTGTAAAAGAAGGATCTGGCTGTATGATACACTGATATGGACGGTGATGGGATACGGGGCGGAAATATGGGGGTAGAAGGAAAGGAGGGAGGTAGAAGGGATACACGAGAGATACCTCAGATGGACACTCGGTGTAAACTGGAGGACCCCAGGGTACATGGTCAGGGACGAACTAGAAAGGGAAAAAATGGGAGCCAGAGCGAGCAAGAGAGCATGGAAATTCGAAAGAAAACTGGAAGAAGGTAGAGGAGGAAGAATAGCAAAGAAATGTTTGGAAGAAATGAAAGAAAGATGGAAGAAGGAAAGGATAATAGGAAGATGGGAGCAGGAGAGAAAGGAATACTGGGAAGGTATCGGGGTAGAAAAGGGAGGGGAGGAGGGACTGACGGAGGAGGCAATAGAACACAAGGAGAAAGCAAAACAAAGACAAGAAAGAATGGGAAAGATTATGGAATCGAAATACAACAGGTGGTATAAACGAATAAGGAAGGATGGGATTCCGGAATATCTAAAGAAGGGCTGGGAGGAGGCAAGATGGAACAGAATTGCAAGGTTCAGATTGGGCAACGAGATTAGGGAGGGACTATACTGGGGAAAAGAGGAAGACAAAAAATGCAGGATATGTGAGAAGAAGGAGGAGACGTGGGAACATGTCTGGGAAGAGTGCTCGAGATGGGAAGATTGGGAGGGAGAGAGTTGGCAAGACGTGGTGGAGAAGATAATGAGTGAAAAGGGAGAGGGGGAGGAATGGATGAAAACGATAGAAGAGATGAGGAGTGGGGGGGGAGGAAGGAAAAAGAGGTTGAGAAATAGATGGCTAAGAAAATTTTTAATTTCAGATAAGGTCAAAGAAAAGGGGAGCACAGGACAAAAGGAAGGAATGGAATTCAGAGCGAAGGTGACGGTAGAGAGAGAGATGCTGGAGAAAATGATAAGGGATCAAGCAAAGGAAACACTGAGAGCACTAAAAGAGGAAGTAAAGGACCAGAGAGAGGAGATAGAGAACCTGAAAAGAAAAATACGCAGGCTAGAAATGGGCGCGGGTAAAAGGAAGAGGGACGAAAGCGCAGATAACAGGGGCAGGCAAGAAGAAATGAAATGGTGGTCCGACGACGATGAGAGGAATGAAGATGAGAGAAGGAGGAAAAACATAATAATAAGGGTAGAGAGGAACAGATGGATGGGAAAGGGAACGAACTGGGAGAAAGTGAGGCAACTGCTCTCGGAGGAACTGAAGCTAAGAGTAGAAATGAAGGAAGTGAGCGTAATAGGGCTGAGAGGAGAATGGCTCACGATGCTGGTGAGGCTGGGAAGTGAAGAGGAGAAATGGAGAGTATTAGAGGCAAGGAGGAGGGCAGGGAGTAGACTAAAGGTCAAAATGGATGAAGACAAATCTGTGGAAAGAAGAATTAGAGAGGGAGAAGAGAAGAAGAGGAGAAAGGAGAGGAGGGGAGAAGATGATGGAAGAACAAAAGGATCAGAAGAGGATGAGATAGCAAGCGAGCTAGAGAAGAGTCTACTAATGGAGACGGAAGAGGAAAAGGAAAAAACAAAGACTGAGTAAGAAGGAAGAGGAGATCAGGGGAATACGGGAGCGGGTAGCGGGGGGCCGAGGAGCGAAGAGCCGCCCGGTAGAGGAGGCGCGGTCACCATGGCCCGGGCATAGGCGAGAGCGTGCTGTGGCGGCGACGGCGATAAGAAGAATGCACTCTTCTGGTATACCGGCTCACACCAGGCAATGCTGGATCTCATGAACAAGTACGATCCAAAGGCAACACGTTCTCAATGGTGCGAGAGAGATAAGATTTTATCATGCTCACTCTTCTCGGAGTTGTGAGATATATCACCGATGTTGAGGAGAATACATGCGAGAGGATGTGCATAGTCGAGTATCCGCAGTATGTGAGAACAGCTTTCAAGTGCGTTGCCGCGGCGGCGGAGCGCCGCTGACACTAACGGAAAATAATGTTCGCGGCGGTGGCATGCGCACGGAGGACGCGGAGGCACCGTGGAGCGACACGCAAAACGGGCGGCTCGGATTCGGATGGATCACGCGCAGAGGGACTGCGTCACGTGTTACGGCCCCTGGCTCCTGGCTCACCAGATAGCGAATCACAGCAAGACTGATGATGTTTTTCTATATTTTTGTTTGAAAGTTTACATACTAAAATATACAGGGTTGGGTACGTCCCGAAAAAACGCCGATATTTTTCTTTTTT